AGGACAAAATGTTCACTTGCTACCTAAAATATCCCAAACCACTGACAGGTACAATGATAACCAGATAATCAGTGTTATTCACTTCACCAGTCAGTGCTCATAATGTTATGGCTGTACCACTATATAGGAGTATGGATCAAAATGACACCATTTCACCAGACTTGAAAGTGAATTATTCATTCAAATGGAAAAAGGCTCCTGTCTCTCATGTCTATTGTATGTTAAGAAACGTCTCTGCTTTATCTCTCTTTTGTTGTATTTCAATGCCCCCCCTCCCGTGTGGACAGAGTTGGAGGCTGATGTGACATTCATGCTTATGCCAGACATCAGATAGATCTGGGGACTCTTCTTGTGCACAGATTTGTTTAAATGTCACATGCTGAATACGCCACTGCAGCTTAGGCCCAACAGGATTACGTGTAATGCCATAAAAATATAAATCTGTTTCTTTTACAATTTGACATTCAATTTTTCTTTTTACAGAATTTTCAACTTTTAAGTCACAGCAGCTTTCCCCCCAAAACTGACAGAGTTTATATTTTGGGGAGAAAAGAGTGAACTAAAGAGGCACATGGGAAGAATTGGGTCAAATGCAAATTTGACTCAGCGCTTGCCGTCTGATTACATTTGACATGTAAGGAGTGCAGAGACAGATTTATACAGCAGGGCTCATGGACTCTGGTGAGGGGCAGCATCTTCACATGGACTGATGAAGGTTTCCTGTCATGTTGCACAGTCACAAGTGTGTGTATCTCCTCTGACTAATTACTTGACGTGGTAACAACAAAGATAATGATAAAGGCAAGCTAAGAGCATGGCCAACACAAAGCTCTGAATGGAGCACTGCTCACTCGTGTATAACAGTGACAACAGCCGTTTCTGGGGGGAAATATACACCATGCTTTCCATGTTAGAGCAGGCATCAGAGAACTCATCCTCACATACCACGGCTTCCCGTTTTACGATCAAAAATTATTCAGTTCAACCTTTTGCTCTTCAATAATTCACTGCTCAATTTCTTGTTGCTTAGAATAGTGAGGAAGGAAGTCAGGGAAGGACCAGTGTGGTGAAAATGCAACCCTGAACACTTGAGTGAAAATGTTAAAGATGTGTAATCCTGATGCTCACAGTTTGTTACTGCACCAGCATGTGTGTTGGTGTCAAGGGACTATGTGACATTTACTCTGAGAACTGCCAACAGTCTGCTCATGTCCATATTGTGCACCATATTTTCAGGGCAAATAATTAATGCCAATGAAAGTGGTATTTGGCACGCAGAGTGACCCCCATGGATGTATAATCTCCCAAAGCCCACATGGCCCTCTCCCCCTCTCTCTCCCTCCCAGCTCCCCCACCTCCATCTCTGCTATGGATTACGTTGGATCCTCATTGTCTAAAGTATACCTGCATGACATGCAATCACACACATGCACGTTAATTAACACAAACAAAATCACTTTTACCTGTATGATCTAATGTGTGTGATGTGTCACAGCTGCAGTAACAGTAAGCTGTGATGCTTTGATAATAAGACACACATTTTGCAGTGATATTTATCATTTTAGTGAATGAAGGACAGGCTGTTCTGAACTCGATATGAACTTTAAAAAAAAAATGTCATTTCATTTGGAAAAGAACACACCACTGACTCTGACTGAAGCTTGAAAGGGAAATTTGGCTGAGTAGAGTGACTGTAAATGATTCAAAACTTTGGCCACCTTCTTAAGCATCAGTTGATGCAAGATTGAGAAGCAATTTTTTGGGAGTGGGAAAAGCACATGCATAATTTCTTTATTTTCTTGGCTTTTTTTCTCTAATTTGGAATAATCAGTCCAGTCACCGTGCTAACGCCGCTGTTGGCCTTGGGGAGGCTGCAGAAAGCCATGTGCTATTTCTGTGACAGGCAGCCCGCCACTTCTTTTCACTTGCCTGCAATAAGCTTTACTGAGGGGGGAACAATGGGCTCAGAGGTTCATCATATACTCCTAGATTTCACCCTGTCCCTGTTGTCCCTGTACCTGCTTAGCACCAAACTGCAGACAAAGTTAGCGACTAGCTGGTGAACACAGTGGAGCAGCCAGATATTTAAGACCTCTCTGAGCCTGATAATGTAATGTTACTCTGTCTGTCTGTTTGCTTTCACGTTCCCAATAACAGCTTTATAATGCAACAATATGTTAATGTTTACACCTTTCTGCATTGTCCCCAAGGGGCGAAAAAAAAAAAATGCAGCTTCAACGTGACACCTTACGCCGATATATGTTTTTAACTTGTGCAAACTGCTGGTAGCCAGTGTGATGAGTGTACCTGTGGAAGTGTGACTGTACGAAGGAGCATCCTGGCTGTATGCTGGCCACATCCAGCGTCTTCACAGGGTTTTTAAAAGTCATCTCGGTGCTGACCGCCCTGAAGCTGCTGAAGTCGTGATTCCCCACCAGCAGGGCCGCTGCCTTGCGCATGGATCCCACATCCAGCTCACTGATGACAGACAGAAACAAGAGACATTTTTGTTTAACAAGAGATCAGTGATCAATCAGCTGAGGTTAACACACTTCCTAAATCAACTTTTGCCAGCTCATTGTGATATTTGCAACCTGACACGAGAGCGACCTTCCTGAACAGCAGGGTGAAGCAGCTGGGATGCAGTGTACACATTAAGTACAATGGGTTTATGATCAGAATCATTTATTGGCTGACTTATACAAACTTTCTGAAGCACTATGCCACGTGAGAGAGCAGAGCATGTCAATGACCAGATCCTTTGAGGGAGAGAGTGGGAGTGTGCACGGTGCTCGGATTCTCTACAGTCTCGTGCTTCTGTCACTGCTTAAAGATGATCTGACAGAAAGTGAGATAGAAGCAGAGCGGGGAAATGGAGGAGTGTGCTGAGAGACTCACTAATTAAAATCTTGACAGCTGATTTATTCTTGCATTAAGTGAGAACTTTTTAAAATAGAGATGCTTGATCCTTCGCAAATCAAGTTGGTCTACAGTTTATCCTTTCATAAATTAATCAATCATTATGTCAACTATTCAAGATTTTAATTTGTGTAGCACTTTGGTTTATGATCAAATATGTACAAAACTGATGACATGCTAATACACTAAACTAGGATGGTGAACATAAATATTAGCGTGTTAGCATTGTTAGTATTCCCATTAGCACAGCTCAAAGCACCACTTTAATACAGCCTAACAGAGATGCTAGCGTGGGTCATAGTGTTCTTTTGTTTTTAATACATTGACTAATTTATATCTCTTTTGTACACATTAAATACTATTATAATTATTGTTATTTTATCTATTTATTTGTGGAGTTCAGAGCTGAAATGATCAATTAATGAATCTGTCATGCAACAGAAAATTAATATGCAAATATTTTCACATGCGATTATAAGTTTGTAAATGATGAAGTAAAAATTAAAAATATTCTCTGGTTTAGGCTTCCTAAATGTGAGCATTTGCTGCTTTTCTTTTTCTTATTTCACTTTAAAATTTAGTATTTTGTGGTTTTCAAGTGTAGGTCAGACAAAACAAGCTATTTTTTGGGCTTTGACTTTATTATTAGTAGCAGCCAAAGAGTGACAGGAAAGTGGGGAGAAAGAGGGGTGATCACATGCAGTAAAAGGACCGCAGGTTGGAATTGAACGCAGGACGCTGCGGTAAGGACTCGACGTTTGTACACGGGACACACACTCTATCAAGTGAGCCACCAGGGTGCTCTGAAAACAAGCAATTCAATGTTATTGCCTTGGGCTTTGGGAAACTTTCACTCATTTTATAGACGATTCACCGAAAAAGCCCCCATTGACTTTAAGGGTCGGTTGTTGGTTATAGTTTGTTCAAAACCTGAAAGTTTTTGAAAATTGCAAGGAAAAGAGCAAAAACGTTTGCTTACATCACACAATTAATCCAATCTTTCACACATCTCACTAGCTCTTAGAAATGATTTTGAGGGTAAATTCAACATTAAAATGAAGAGTGGAGATGAATGACTTTTTGCAGTGGAAGAAAAGGGGGGAGGGGGGTGATGACGAGGGAGATGCAGATCAAAGAGAGAACGGAAAGAGAGGCTGCTGAGGCAGAGGCGCTCAGGGGTAGAAGGACGAGATGGATGCTGAAAATGAGAGAAGGGATAACGAACCAGAGACACCAGAGAGAGAAACAAAGGAGGGAAGGTGAAATAGAAAGAGGCATAGAGAAAAAATAAACTATAGCAGAGAGAAGGAGAAGGGTGGGAGTGGGAAAGAGAAAGAGAGAGAGAGA